GGACCTTGCCCACACGTGCGTGCAAAGGTTTGCACGAAATCGATGACATGGGGGTAGCCTGCTGCGGCAGCTGCTTGCCCATGATCTTCCCTGCAGGGGGCCCGCGGCTGGCGCCGTCACGTCTCCATGTGCATACTGGCTCGAGGTGTCGCGGACACCAACTACATAACAAAAAGGGCGGCTAGCTGTTGCTAGTGTTTCGCCCTCGCCCACCACTTTATCGATACTCGCCGTGAAGGAAATTAACGTAACCATAAGGTGAATGCGGTGGCTGTTAGAGATGAAAGCAAAGTGTTCTTTGACGATATGAATGTAGCTGTTCTGTTCAGTCTCCATCATCATCCGACTCTGTTCCTGATTGTCGTACGTGCGCCTCACTCCTATCTGTGCCACCTTTGTGTGTCAGTTTCTTTCTTGTTTGCCGCGTTTTTTTTTTTTTAAAAAAAAGAACAATACTTATTCAAATGTAAGGCTGTTGAAAAGTCACGAGTTGGCCGTCTTCTAGTAGTTGCACTCTTCTGATTAGTGCGTCGTCTGGTGATGTCAAGAGCAGTTTGCGAGTATCAGTTTCGTAACTAGCGATACCCTTCGCCGGCGCTATGCGGCGTCGCAGAAGAAGCATCTTCAACTTCACTTCGTGTCTCTAGACTTGTACGCTGCACCTCCTGCCACGCCTTCACGCATCTCGTAGTTGGGTCCTTTCACCCGTGCGGGCGCACAAATCCCGGCAGCATGACAGAGGTTACCGAGGAGGACGAGACGCAAAAAGGGCTGAACGTGCTGGAACGCACGCTGGCTGGCGTTGGCGGAAATTTCTGCACGACCTTCACTGTCCCCGTTGCGGATATTCCGCGGGTGACGCTGAAGAGTACTGGCGAAGGGTTCGACCTGGTTCGACCGCCTCTTTGCACGTTGCTCGAAGGAGTACATGAGGACAGACAACGCGAAGTCACGCGAGACCTTCGCAGCAAAGCAGAGCAGCAAACCGCGGACGGCAAAAACGCAAGCGCTCTCTCGGAAAATGGCAAAGAGGACAACGCAGATAGTTTCGAAGCCTGGTACGCCCTTCGGGAGGCGCGTTCTCACGTGCAAGACTTCATCAAGGATGTCATTGCGGAGGAGCAGGAGTCGCGTGTGCAGCCGCTGCTACAGAAAATGAAAAAAATCGACCGCGAATTCTTTTGTGCGCTGTACGATGAGACTATGGGTGGCAAAACCGAAAATGGGAAGGCGCGCAGCTGCAACTACCTTGCTGGAAATGACGACTTGTTCTGGCACCCCAACCCGTCAATTCTTTTTCCGGGGTTGACGGCGTGCGAGGACCACCAGGAGGAGCTTTTTATTTCTGACGTCACCACGCCGGCGAAGGCGAAGCGGCGCCACCTGTTGACAAGGTCACTCGCGAGCAGAGAGGTCGACATTTCGTGTGGAACCAAACACCTCGCCGACGTCCTACAGGAGGCCGGCGTTGCTGAGCGGCTGCAAAGGGAGCTAGATTATCCGTATCCGGTGGAGCTCGAATTTGCACGCCTAGACGCTGGAGGGATGCACGACCAGCCGGATGATCGCGCTGCGCAGGTGGTTCCAGATGACGCGTGGCAGCATCACTACGTTTCTGACACTACGAAGCGGAACTACGTTGCGCAGAAGCTCAACAAGAAGCGGGCGAGCGATCAGTTGGATGACGAGAAAACAGACGACGAGACGGCTGACTATGAAGCGATGAAAGTGCGCTACGCAGCCAAAGCCGGCGCAGTTTTTTCGAATGTCGGCGACAAATCCCCGTACAGCGACATTGAAAATATGAGCGCAGAAAAGGGGGCATACGGTTTTGGTTATGGTCGTTGGCAGATGCCCAGCGAGTACTACCCTGAGGCCGATTGTGACGTGCTACGAGAGCTTAACGACAACCGGTTCCGTACAGCGGGGACGCTCTTGGTCTGTTTTCCGGGTTTGTGGAGCGACGCCCACACGGCCTCTGCAGATATGGACGGGTCACTTCAGACGAGCTTCCACCTTTCAGGACATTCCACGCTTGCGGCCGGCGACAGTGCTGAATACCTCCCGGCAGCCGTGTCCCGCAATGAAGTGCCGCTAAGTTTCCAACACCTCTGTGGCGATGGAAAAGACAAGGCTGCTGTCAGCGACCATGAGAACATCGATTGTGAGACGAAGGATGACCGATGCGGAGAACATATGCAGAACCAGAGTGACCGGGACCGTGACGCTGGCGCTCAAGCTACACCTACGACGGTGGTTTCTGATATTGCGCGGAATCTGCACCTGGTTGGGCTTGTTCGGGGGGCGGATATCAAGAACCCAGCGACATACCGTGCACATTTCAAGGGACACTGTGCCATCGGTGTGTTTCGCATTCTGCGAGTTCGAGAGGAAATCCCACTCCCAGATAGATGGCCACTACTGCGCGAACTTTTGCCAACGCTGCAACAGTGCGTCCCAGAGAAGGCGAAGTCGAAGGTGTTTGATAGCCAGAAGTTGCAGTTTGATCTCCGCCACCACGTTGAGGGTAACGACCGCAAGCGCCCCAATCTGTTGGAAATCGTTATAAAGGAGGAGCGGCGGAGGCTGCTGGAGAAGGGATTCAGCGAATCCGCCGTATCCCGGTCGTACGAGCGAGAAGGCAGTATGGCGACGAGACCAGATGCTATCTACGATTTTGATGGCACGCACTGGCGTCTCACTTTTGACAACGATGACGATCAAACCTGTCAGGCACAGCGGCTGAGAGCAGAATTGCAGAAGCTCTGGGACAACCAGAAGTTCATGTCGGGCGGGGGGTCCGTAGTGTTTCCGTCATATGAACGGTATTGCAACCTGGATATTTTTCCGCTGCGCAGCGACGGCCCCGATCAGCCACTCAAGCCGCACCAAGCGCAGCGACTCCGTCAATGCGATAAACTGATCGCTGAGAGCGTCGCCCAGCAACAGCTCGGCTTCATCCCCGAAGACAAGCCTGATGGCAATTCTGAGCCACACACTAACGGGCCTGTGGATTGCGGTACAGTGTCGACCAACAAGAAGGCCGCTCTTCTCCAGCCACAAGACCGACCGGCCATTGCGAAACAGTCTCTAGAGAAAGAGCGAGAAACAACCTTGCTAGAAGCAGGCCGACAATCCGTGCATCCTGCAGCAGTACACTACCGACCACGCATTTTTCCGACCGTGGAGTTCCCTGGCTTTGAAAAAACCCAATTTGAGTTTAGCCTCGACGCGGACTCTATGCGTGGCGGTGATTTTGAAGCACTCGACCGCTTGCCCCCCGCCCGCTGGCGCACGCAGCTTCAGCTTTCAAGAAAGCCCAAGGCCGACAGCTTTCACCCTCCCCCTGAAGCATCAAGTAGCAGGGCACTGGCTCTGGTGTGCGGATCGCGACTGCAGATGGTGGAGGATGCTTTGGCGCTGCCGCTTTTTGACTCCGAGGGACCAGACGGCTTTTTGACTGACGCAGACGATGGCAATGCTGACCGAGCGGCTCTGGCGCATCTTCAACAGTTTATGGACAGCTGCAAGGACTATGGTGACACGCTCTCTGCTGGCAAGAACTCCCTTTCCCAACTGGATCAGCAGAAGGCATACGGGTTTCAGAAGGATTTTTCCGTGGCGAAGGCGATCTCACCAACCAGCATCAGTAATAAACGAGCCGGCCTTGGTGGCTCGTGCGACTTTTCATCTCTTCCGTGTGGACCAGAGAGCCGCACGGTTGCTGGAGTGGTCAGCAGTTTTAGGTCGTCGGAGGGAAGTGACGGCAGATCCCTGAATCGCCACTTGGTGTATACCAACTTCGATCTTGATACAGATGAAGAGAAAGGCGTACACGAGAACCCGCTGGTGATGTCGCTGCCATTTCGCTCCTATAATTATGAAATGGAGCAGCGGTCCACTTTTGTTACCTTGCTGGAACACAACAAAAGAAAAAAAGGATCTGTTGCTGCTCTTGCTAAGGCTGAGTCGAAACAACAGCGGTGGTTGAAAATTCCTCTCGGGCAACTCGGCGTAATCGAGTTGATTGTGCCGCCTGCCTGCCAGCGGGTGAACATACCGGACTTTCGCCAGATCGACGAGGCAGTTTGGAACGCGGAAGCGTGGCAGCAGGCCGAAGAAGCGGAGAAAGTTCATAAAGCGAGAATGAAGCATCCGAATGCCGATCGATTCGAGGACGGGCGACAACGTGATCAACGGCTCAGAGATATTAAACAGGAAAGAGATACGAAGCGGTCGCAGACTGACGGGTGTCTTGAGGATGAGTTCAATGCGATGTCGACCACCGTTGCTGACAAGCAGCAACTGATAGCGGAGTATAAAAAGCTCAGAAATTAAATTTTCAAAATGTGTTTTAGCCAGCAGGCTCCTGGCGTCTTGCGGATGCACGCATCCGCAATGCGCCAGAAGCCTGCTGAGCTATCCAGTTTAAACATCAACCTAAATTACAATGAATTTTAGCTAAGAAGGTGAGCTAAAACTTTTTTTCAAATTTAATTTCTGAGCTTGTTATACAGAGAGTGTGGATTTTCTTCTTCCTCGAAGTTGGGACGGCGCGTTGCGTGTACAGAAGCGCCGGTGGCTGGAGGACAGAAATGCGCGTGACTGGACGGCCACACGCGGAGAGATGCTCAAGACCGTCCTACGCGGCAAACTCGAGCCACGAAATCCCAGACACCGCTGTCCGCTGCAGTGCCGTTTGGAGATTCTGGATGCCCTTACAGTCTATTGGGTAAACTGTTCTGGTGAGAGCATCCGCTACGGTTACGAGTTCAAAGAGATGGGGAAGATTGTGAGGAAAATGCAGCACCTGTTTCCTTTTCCGTTGGCCGCTACAGTGTCTGACTTTGAGCGGTATCACAAGCTCGACGCGGCAGGCGAAGTGAAAAACGCAGAGCACAACAAAGCCTCGCCGTGCCCGCTCTGCTACCTTGCTCCACCCTTATGGAATCTTGATTCAACTCTGTTACTTCGTACTTATCGTGCTTACAAGGTGCCTTTGAAAATGCAAGGAAGATCTCGCAATCACAAACAAGAAGAAACGCCACGACAACTCGCCACGAAAACCGCATTTGAAATTTGCCCTATGTGCATAGTGCATCGACTTGGAATTGCATGCAGTAGCTGAAGCAGCTACAGTCAGTTCAGGCGATGCCACAACATCTAAATTGTAAGTATAGTAAACCAGGCAGTCTTGTTTTTCCTTCCTGTAAGCTCAACGACCGACGAGGTTGTTGTGCGAGGCATTTTTCGGACGTGCATATTACGAAATGAACGAGATCAGCATCAGCTCGAGCACCAGCAACAAAGTTTCAAGCTGGCAAAGTGAAAATCGGCGAAAGATGTACAACGCCCTCCTTCAAACGTTGAGGTATTTAATCGTCGGACGAGAAAGGGCTGCGAGCCTATTCAGCGACGAACCACGTGAACGCGTCGATGTCGAAAAGGGGAATCCGCTTTTTTGTCCTGCTGGGGCTTCCGGAATGAATCCCTGGCGCTGTGAGGAGACATTCTGGGTGGCGCAGTGGAAGAGGGACGAGGTGCTGTCCGCTGTTGATTTTCACTGGCAGCTGGTATTTCCACTGCGGCACGGCTACCGGTTTGCAGATCTGCAGCTCCTAGGACACGCCGAGCAAGCGGAACTTCTCGCCACAAGCGTAGCATCCCGATCGGGCACACCACGCCCAGAGCCTCCGTTCTCCATTCCGGTCTTGTCTGCGGCGTCAGCAGCAAGCCTTTTTGCTGCGGGCACTTCGCGGCCGAGTGGAAGCGGAATTTCGGTCGGAGCCAGTCGCGACGAGGAGCTTCATACTGCTTTTCTTGCCCAATGGCTTTGTGCGATTGCGATTCGCTGTGGAGCGCCTCGGGTTTCGGTGCACTGGTATCTCGAGGAGCTCGATTTAGTCGCAACCACGTCATCAATATTTGATCCAGCGTACGCCCCGCCGCTGCAAGACGCGGCCGCAGATCCAAGTCTCGCCAAGGAATTTTTCAAGGACGTCAGCGAGTACATTCTGTCGCCCGTTGATCCCGCGCTGGTCCTGCCACAACGTGGTCGAACACCAAAGGATCGGCTAATCAAAGCTGCAAGCTTGCATGCAGAGCGTGCGTTTCGCCCGCGCCGGACGATTCATCTGAACCGACTTCCGCCAAGACAGGATCACGTCTGCCCCCCTGGGCAAATATTCTCCGACCGGGCAGCGCTAAAGGCACACTTGGCAGCGGAGTTTGGTTCACAGTACGAGGCGGCGGAAGACGATGTCTGGGTAACGCCACTTCTGCCGCATCCGGATAGCTTTGGCCTGCTACGCATGCTGACTGGACGAGAGACCGCTGATGATCTGTACTGGTTTCCTATCGCTGCAGGTTCATCGGACCCATCAAGTGGCACGCAGCAGCAGTCGAAATCGTCATCCGCCACCGAGGGCGACGCGGCTGAACGCGAACCCGGCGAGCAAGAAGCGGTCACTATTGACAAGGGAGAGTCGACGCGAAACCACGTCTGCGAAAAGGAGAACTTTGAGTATTGAAAAAAATGCTTCAATGAGAATTCCTCTTTACTTTTTGCTCGTATTTTTTGCCATTTACATATTCATGCCAAACACACAACACAGTGCCATTTTCGAAATTTCCGACGCGAAGACCGAAGAGCGCAGGGAAGAGTGCGTCGCGTTGTTCCGTCTCTGCGCGGCTATCCACCTGGATTTGCGACACACGGGCGGCTGGAAACCGCCGGGCCGGGATGATGTCGCCGCGTCTGAATATGCAGGAATAGGGAAAAATGCGCAGAAACTTGACAAGATACAAACGAAGGCCGCTGCTGCAAATCTTCAAACTGCGGGAGGTGCAGAAAGTCCAGGTTCGGATGGAGGTAATGTTGTCGGCACGGAGGCCAAGAGAAGACGTGAGGGGACACCAGAAGCCCAAGTGCGGGATGAAAACGTAGGCGGACAACATGCTGCTGCGCCGGAGTAACGAGGATCGCGGGACAGCTACTGACTTGGTTAACGCGTTCAAATATGTGTTTGAGGATGTAAATGCATCTCTGTTCGCGAGAATCCGAAAACAAACTCACTATGATGACGTTTGCTGGAGGAAGATGTTCTGTATATGAGATTCTAGGCACAAGTATCTACCACGGATATGGCTAAATTCTATTTATATCATGGGTACACCCGGCGTTCTTCTGCACCACGCTGCCAAAAAGAAGTTGATGAGCAACAACTGTTTTTGTATCTACTTACGGCCTGTCTGGCTGTGGCATTGAGAACCAGACCCCCTCGCAAGACTACTTTCAAATGGAAGACTCGCCTCCAGTTGTTCGCTTTGTTACTTTTCACAAACAAGAATCTATGACTATGTATGTACAGTTAAACCAGAAGTAAAACTACGCCAATCGACGATGCAAAGGAGTAATTTGCGCAACACGCTGACGTTTTATTTTTTGCGAAAGTGGCATCTCGGAAAACCAAAACTCTGCTTCGGAGCAAGTTGCCCAAAAAATTCTTCGTTCAGTTCTCTGATCTGTAGAGCACATCAGCGAGGTTGCGCTTGTCGTCATGAGAGTTTTTTTTTTTTCTTCAGTGTACCCTCTTGAAATTCTCGTACAGTTGTACCACTGAGGATCGTATGTCGTCGCAACAAGATACTCAAGCGCTCGAACATGTCCATGGATGATGATATGCCTCTTCAGTTGGTGGCGACAACCAGCCATGTCGCCACCGCCTTCGAAATGGCCCGCGTGCCGCTTGCGACGGTTGGCACCGGGGAGCAGTCGCGAAGTCGGGGCATCATGTTTTCCCCGAAGCTGTCAAGCTTGACGCATGTGCGGACGTGGCTCTCCAACGTGCTTCTGCCAGCTGAGGACGGGTGGCGGATCGACTCCGTGGACGTGAGCACCTTCGGCTACTCCCCGACAGTGCTCGCGACGGTTTCACGAGAGGTAGGCGGGACCAGCTCCGCCACCGAAGAGGAAATTAAAGAAGTGACGAAAGGCAAAAGCTCAAACGTGCAGAAGCAGGACATCAAGGACCAGGCCAACCAATCGGCCAAAGCAGCCGGCGCGCCCGCAGTAGTAGATAATGGGAGCGGCGAACGGAAGCTGGGCGACGAGAAGCCGGTTGATGTAGCACAGACCTCCGCCGGAGAAAGTGGTGAAAATGCGTCTTGTGGTCTAGTGGTCGACGCAAAGGCCAAAGCCGACTGCGGCACGGGCGCCGCAGCAAGCAAGAATGCAGTCGGGGAAAAGAAGGAAGTAGACAAGAAAAGCTCCGGTGCAGGTGGAGAAAACAAAAATGCACCAGAGGCGAGCGACGAGGAGGAAGCTCCAATCCGGTACGTTCGGCTCGTCGACATCTCCGGTAACGAGTACGGTGTGACCATCCAGGGTTTGGATGCTAAAGATCAGCCGACGCTGAAGATCAACCGCTCCTGGACGCTGCGGGAGGCGAGGGAGCAGATCCAACGCTGCTTTCCCGACCGCACGTTGCAGTTCGTGCCGCAGCTCACGGAGGACGCGGTATCGGATAACGAGGGGAAGAGCGATGCGGTTCTGAGCGACGTGGAGATGAACAGCGACGACTTTTCTCCGCTTGCAGACGACATGGACATCGACGACGGGGGCCTGTCTCCAGTCCGGAACAAGAGGGAGAAGAGCACCGGTAAGCAGGAACCGGACATAAAAGCCGGCAGTGAAGATGACGGTAGCAAGCAGCCTGAGGAAGAGCAGAAACCCGCTGGAGAAAAGGACCCAGACGACCGCCTGGTGGACGAGTTGGTGCACAAAAGTGGCGATGAACTGGTTTTACTGTGGTTTCCGGCCCAAAAGGATGAGGAAGAGGAGGCGGAAACCGAAGATGCAGATGACTCTAGTGACAACGTAGGGTTTCCGTTCTCCGATGAAGAGGATTTTCCAGCAAGATGATGATGATCATGATAATCCGAACTTCCCTCTTGACCTCCAGATCGCCTTCAAAAATCAAGCACATTCTGGAACCGGGTAACTTTTCTGCCGGCCGCCGGCCGGATGAAAAGTTACGCAAGTTCTGACACTGGCTTACAGTTCAAGTTGCAGGAGGTTTCTTTCCATGAGTTTTTTCTTTGTAGCGAGGGACAAGTCAAGACCTCTAGATAGAAAGCAAGATCCCGGTTCTTGACAGATCAAACTCAAAAGATTCAGATCATGTTGCATGTTTTGGCGAGTTTTGATGAAGACATAGAGGCAACTGCGAAATCTGCGCATGGTACGTGTCTTCAACAGCTTCAACACCAGATAGAGCCGCGTGGTAAGATGATAGATGTACATCGTTGGTCACGGAAGTGGCAGGCTGGACAAAAAGTGCTCCAAGATGATTCTGCACTCGACTAGTGCCGACAAGAGCATGACGAGGAGACCAAAACAAAGCTCAAAACTTTACTACCGTGCTTTTGTGGGTGCGTTTCCTCCTGTTCTCCCCTGCTCAGAGACTTCTTGTTGGATGTTGTAGAATGAATAAAAGAGATAGAGAAGGCATAGGCAAACAAAAACAAATAAATCTCGAGCCACGACGACATCTGATTGGAAATGAGCGCCTCTTCATCTTCATCTGATGGTGGTCGGTCAGATGGCACTCGGTGGGGAGGCGCGGGGGACGATGACAAAAGCCGCGAACCCTATGCCGGTGAAGTGCTGACGGCAGATGGGTCCTGGCGCAAGATGCGCGTTTCCACGGAGGAAGGCCTTGAAAAAATCGCGCGGACCCTGCGCGGAGTGGGTCCCGAGTTCCAAACGTCCTTCCAGGTCAATGTATCGGGCCCCCCCCGTGTCCACGTGCTTCGCTCCGGAAACGTCTACCAGGTACAGCGCCCCAGCCTGGGTTCGATTCTGAACGCCGCAACGCAGGAAAAAGTTGTTGAACTTCTGACAGCCGAGGAGGAGCAGGAGGCGGAGGCTTCTGATGTGTGTGGCGCAGAGCAGACACAGACCAAGGAAAGAGAGGATCCGGTCGCCATCTCTTCGTCGTGTGAGGAAAAAGCAACGTCCGCTGCAGTGGCAAGCAAGAGTCCAGGCTCAGGAGGTGCACGTCAACAGGGCGGCGAGAAAGAGAGAGACGCAAAGCCACCCGAGGACATGGGTGGTGCGGGGCATACCAACTCTGGAAAAAATGAGGACGGGGAAGGCAGTACTGCCTCTTCTCCAATAACAAAACGTTGGGACCCTTTAAACGACTACCGCTTTTACGAAAGCAGACGCCCCATGCCGCGCCCAAAATTTTCGTCGCCGACAAGCGACGCCGAGAAGCACGCGCAGAATCTGTTCGAGGACGCCCTGATCGCTGACCAGCACGCGCGGCTCGATCCCCTTCTCGGGGAGATGAAGCGCGTCGACAACGAGCTGCTGCGCTCCCTGGCCGAATGCGATAAGAATATTAGCCGGCCGTTTGCATCGGCCAGTCCTGGTCTGGTGCACCCGAAGCTCACACCAGCAGTGCTGCCACCGTCCTTGTGCGTGCCGCTGACAGGAAGCAACTGCGCGGACTTCTGCAATTACCGGGGGCGCGAGGAAATGAAGGGCATGCCTCGTTTCTACGTCCGGAAGAACCGAAACGACTGCTTCTTCACGCGCTCGCTGGGAGCTGGGGACGTGGCGGTGAAAGTTGGGGTGTTAGATCGTGAAGACGGCGAGGACGAATCTGGTGCAGGACGGCAAGTTCTGGAGGAGCGGTCGTTAACAGACGAGCTCATCGCGGCGGGTGTGCCGGACCACATTCGTGATCAGCTGGAGTACCCCTATGCGGTGGAATTGGATTTCGTGCGGCTTGACGCCGCCGGCAAGACCCGCAAGACGAAGGCGCGACATGACGCTCCCGGAAAATCCGAGGCGATCGCGAAGCGCATCAAACGCCGCCGCAAGCTGCGCGATGCAATTTCGGCCGAGAAACGGAAAAACAACAGGTCGCCCTGGAAATACACGAAGGAAGACGAAAAGCTTAGCGAGAGCGACCACTCCAGTTTTTCATCCTCGGCCGAGTCGCTGCAAGACCGACGCCGCTGCCGGAAGTTCACAAAGAACGGGTCCCCGCGCCCGCGCTTTAGAAAGAAATACTCGCCGGACTATCACTACGGCCGCGAGAAAGCGGAAGAAAGGGACCGCAGGATTGCCAGGCGCCCCGCGACGAAAGTGAAGTCTGATGACGAGGGATCTCTTTACAGGGCGGTGACAGCTTTGCACGCCGAACAGAAAAATCCCGGAGTAGCGAGAAATGTTGGTGGACACCACGCGCCGGGTCGTGGTGCATCTAGTAGTCGGCTGGCATTATACAATGACGCAGACGGCGGCCGCGGTCGCAAATGGAAAGAGGAAAAAATTACCACGATGGATAATTCGAAGGAAGAGCGTGTTGTAAACATCCTTACTCATGATCTGCGGCGAAGCGACGGCAGAGCCGACCACGACATTCTACGGCACCGCGACGACATTCGACGACGGACCGTCGGAACATTGCTGGTTTGCCTCCCCGGTGCGTGGTGTCGTCCCCGGCCAATGAAGCTGAACTTGAAAGACGGACTGCGCGAACGCTACGAGCTCCAACAGGTTCCCTTCGCGGACAGCGCCCGTGCGGGCACTGCGCTGCCACCAGCGATTCGACTTGATGAGTTGTCCGAGGATCTGCGCCACGCCGCTGTCATTGACGACGAGACTTCTTCCTGTGCGTCTTTATCGCAGGGGGCAGAACCGCTCCGCACCCCGGGTTCTGTCGTGTCACCGGAGACCGAAAGCCAAAAAAGCCGTGGATCGCAGCTTCATTGCATTGCAGTCGTCCGTGGTACGTCGGTCGACCTGAGCACTGTCCCGACTCAAGGCCACGCAATCGTGGCCGTCTTTCGGATTCTCCGTGTGCGAACAACGCCGCTGCTGCGGCAACTCCCGATGGCGGAGAAACTTCTGGAGGAAACACGTGAAAAAGGCCCCGCCATGCTGGTAGACTTCTTGTACGACGAAAAGGAGAGGCGGTACCTGGTCGAGGGCAAAGACGTAAACGATCTCGAACTAGACACGATCTTGGAGTATCAAGCTAATCTGTTTCTGCAGAGGGCTGTGCACAACGGTTCAGTGGAACTCGGTGCCCACCTAAATTCTGTGACGCGGAAGAAGCTCCGGAAAGCCGGTTTCTCAAGGAAGCAGATCTTGATCGACGAGACCTTCGAGTTTGACATACAGCCGTGGGACTTCTTCAGCGACGTTAATTCGTATCAGCGGGGGTTTCGGAGGAACAAGAAGTCGCTGCAGCAGCAGCGGCTGGAGGTCGTTCTGCGCCAGCTCTGGTCCTCTCCTACGTTTCTGCCTGACGGTGGCGTGCTTGGGTTACCTTCGTATCGCATTTACAGCAATCGAGAGCTGTTTCCCCTGCGCACGGATTCTCCATCCTCCCCGCTGCCCGTTCATGCGAGAACATTGGGCAGGGATAAAGTGTTCGTGCGCGCTTTGCGCCAGTCCGGTATCGGGCAGCGCCTCACGCAACCGGCCTGCCCACAGTCGGCCGAAGGGAGTAACTGCCAGTTGGGTGATGCCAGCAAGCCACTTCTTTCTGCCTGGGCTGAAACCTTCAAGAAGCTGGACATCTACTACCACATTCACACCGCACCAACGGCATGCCAAGGTTTCGGGAATATCCCCCGTGCGCGCACGCACGAGATAATCTCGCTGGACCGACTTCCTCCCTGCCGGTTCCGAACTCGTCAGCTATCGAAGTAGTAGAGAACCGCAGTAGGTCACGTTGATGACTTTTGGCAATAGCCGCAAGGCAAGGCGAGACTATGAGGACTACCCAATCAGATATCTCAATCTTATTCATGAATGTCGCACTCCCGCCTGCCCCTTGATGTAGATTTCGCTGTACTACCTGTCTATCACTAACGCCACAAATAAGCAGGTAGACGTAAGTAGAAATTCAATCCAAAGCAGTGGGCTTCTAAAAGTGCGCGAAGATGAAAAAAAAATATCACACTCACCAAGGTTTTGTTGCCTTTGAATCAATCGAAAGGTGGTCGTGACAACTTTAATGTTAGACGGGAAGTCTTTGTCTTGCGCTGGGTGCACGACAACTACCTATCTTTGGAGGACGCACCTACATCACGGTTCAATTTTGCTTGTTGATAGTCCGATGTGGACGTGGACGTGGCGGATTCCGTAGCCATCGCTCTGCTCACCGCAAGCACAATGGTGCAGACTAGGGGACAAAACGTTCCGGATATCTTCTGCAAGTACCCTGATTTGGAGCTCGTGGAGTCGGAGTGCTCGGACGACGCCGCGGGGGAAAACTCAAATTGTTCCGGAATGCCGCCTGCGGACGAAAACGCCGAACGCAAGGGAGCCGTGGTTCCTGAGGTAGACGAAGCCAATGATCGCGGACACGGGCTAGTGGAGCAGGTCATCTCCACTGGTGGTCGCAACCAGGACGGCAGCACTGCGAGTCCAGATGGCGACGTTAATATGAAAGTTGCTTCTCAGCAGGAGCAGGGTCAGGTTCATGATGACGCAACGGTGACGGACAGTGATAGCAGCAGCCATGTATTTCGTTTGGAAGCGCACAATTCTTTGAGGAAGAAACTCCAAGTCGCTGCGGAACACATTATTGCCGAACCGGACCGAATCCTCGAGTGTGCAGCAGGGGTGTTGAATAAATCCCCGTGGAGTTCTTGTGCTCCTCATCTTCTGGATCTGGGTGCGATTTCGCATGTGGAGGAGTCGAGGCACCAGCGCGAGAAGACCAGTAGAGAAGATTCGACGAGGAAGGTGGGGCAAGAAGACTCCTCTCTCTACCACGTGACGCACTTGATTTCGGTCCAGGACCCCGAGGATTTCGACGATTCCCACAACCGCGCGCCGCTGGCGGGAATCGATTGCGAGTTCATTTGCCATGGTCCCCCGGTCCGCGACCAGCAGTGTCGCTTCCGCCTGGCGGTGCAGGATGTGAGAAACCAGGTTGGTCGCCGTGCGGGGTTGAGCCCGATCGCAAGGCAAGCTCTGCTGCACAAGGGGGGTCCGAACACAGGCTACCACGACGCACACTCGCTGGACCTCGGGCATTGCGGAATGTTCAAAGTCCGGGTTCCGCCAGCCGCGGAACGTGTTCTGATTCCGGAGAACATGAACCAGCTCCAAGATGGAGGGGAACGAGGTCAGCAGGATGTTGGAAATGAAGAGACACAAACAGTTGCCCGTTACCTTCTGGAAGCAGGCATTTGTCCCTCGCAGCTGCATGATCACGCACGGTTTTTAGACAATATCCATATCTCTATCGGCAACCGAGGCGCTATCCTCGTTCATGTTGATGAGCAGAATTCGAGTATCTTGGGGGATGAAGTGAACCATGCCGACACGGCCGCAGCGGGTCAAGGAGGTCCGTTTCTCGTGCCGAACATAGAGGAGCTGACTCCAGAGAAAGAGCATAGCGCATCCCTAATGGTTGAGAGCTGCCTCAAGAACAGCAAGAGGGTGCATTCAATCAACAGCGATCCGCGGAGGATTCGGCACCGTTGTCCTTACCAAGTTCGCCTTGAGCTATTGGACACGATGACACGACTCTGGAGGCACTTCGATGACTGGCATCGCATCATCCAGATCTGGGAGCCCATCGGAAGCGACCAAATTGCTTGCACTTTTATCCCCCCTGCATCCGCCTCGGAGCAGGTAGGACTGCGGAAAACAAGAGGCCTGAAGGCTCTCACGTATGAACAACGCCAATTTAATGCCATGCTGCGTGGCCTCCGCCTGCTGTTGTTTGGTAGTGGCCCGCTACGCGAGGACGGACACGTCGACGGTAGAGATTCGCTAGGTCAAGTCTATTTTCCTAGTCAAAGCGACGAGGTTCCACTGGGGCCGGGCGCCCATTTTCCACCCGTGAAGGTTGACGGCATTTACTCTTTTTGCAGCAGCGACGCCTGGGAAAGCCACCTGCGCAAAAGTGACCTCCTCGCAGCCATCCGTTTCGACTGGGAGTTGGTCTTTCCGGCAAACGCCTTCATGACAGAGCACGACCCGTACCTGGCATTGGCACAAGAAGATCCGAGCCGGCCTGTGCACGGGCCAGAATACTTTGAGCAGCTGTCAAAGTTTTATGCTGATCTACTCTCATCCACTCACGACGCGATCAACGGGAAAGGCGGCCCAGCGGAAATTCATCCAGTGGAGAAAAGGGAGCCGTCACTGGCCGACACGCTTCGACATGCTGCGGTCACGGGAACTTCCGCTACCAGTCATTCGAGCGGCCCGTTGGAGTTGGTGTTGACACGTGACAATATCACGCAAATTTTGTCCGGTTGCCCATTGCCCGATCGAATGCTCGCGGCGATCACTCTGCGGGGTGCGAAGATGCGAGTTGTGCTGCGTTGGTATCTGGAAGAGGTAAACGAGCACCCGAAGAGTTATGAGCGGTGCCAGCAGTTGTCCTTCAGAGCGAACAAGTTCTACCGCGTGAAGCAGTTTGCATTGCCGTTGGCCCCGATTGCGCCGATCACGTTGCCACCAGATAGCTTCACTGGCGTCGAGGAGGGCCATCTTCAGGTGGGTAGTTTCGCCAATAATCATTCCACACCAGACGATTCGGTTGTGGACCCAACTTCGAGCCAGAAGCAACGAAGGAACAAGCAGCTCTTGATGGAGGCGTCCAGTCAGTATGCCGTGGAAGCGTTTAAGCCCCGGCGTGCCATCGTCCTGCGGAAACCTCTGCCGGAGAAGTTGCCAAGCTTTGCGTCGCGCGACGCGCTGGGGAAGTGGTTACTGTCCGAAATGGGGGACCAATACCTTCCGGCGGAGGAGGGGGACCACGTCTGGGTAGCGCCGCTTCCGCTGTCGGGCGAAATGAAGGCGGCGGACGGGACTTTCGCCAAAGATTTGCTGTACTTCCCGATTGGCGAAACCACACCAGATGCGACGATCGCGAGGAAAAGCGGCAAAGCAGTTGATAGCACGTATCGATTTTCTGTGCTCGTTTCGTTTTGGTACTCTCCCAATGTCTACTTTTGCTCTTGCACTGCGCGTGCGCCCTGGTTCATAAAGTCAACTTTTTCTCGATCCTGTGTGTTTATCTTCTTCTCATTTTTCAACAGGTCATCGTGCGAAGAAGGAGAGACGTTTGAAGATGATGGCGTCATTGGTGATACAGACGGAAAGCAGTCCCTTGCAACCCCAGCCGTAACTACTGATCCAGACGTAACTACTGACGACTGCAACATTGCGAAAAAGTACGCGGTCTTCCGACTCAGTGCGGCATATCACCTCGACTTTAGCAGTTTCAGTGGATGGCGACCGCAGTGGGAGAAGGACCGGGCATCGCGGCTGCGCGAGAAAAAGAAGGAAAGAGCCGAGGGAGCGTTTGCCGGCAAAAATGACCGGCGGCCCTCAGAGTCGAAGAAGAGGCCTGCAAGCGGCCGGGGTAGCGGCAGTGGATCGCCAATGAATCAAGCTACAAATAAAGACGGGAGAAGAAAGGTTGCGAAGACCAGCGGTCGTGATTCTGTCTAATGAGTAGTAAAAGTGGCGAGGAATTATAAATGAGGTCGGTTATGTTCTGATGATTGTGCTGAGATTCAAAATGCAAACGCCTACGGGAGGGTAGCGAAAGAGCTTGGTCTTTCGCAGTAGTTTCGGTAAGGCTCCTGCCAGCTACCTGCATTTTCGCAAGACACAAAGAAAAAAGCAGGATGCGATGACCAAGAGCACTCTCATTCACAGTTGCAGTTTTTACAATGAATGTTGATGACAAACAGACGCATGGCAGCTGCTCAGATGTTTTGCGGTACAAACAGCTTTTTTGTTTCGGCTGAGCGCTCGTTGTCCTGTGTTGCCGGTGCCAATATTTGAATGTGATCACACTGGTCCCATTGGTCGTGCTACTTGCTTGCTTATTTGGTTTTTGTCGTGCTACGAAGCATAAGAAAGTCGAACGTGAGATCAGTGATAGATGACGGAGCCTTGCTGGGATGGGCGGGCGAGCCGACACGGTTGCCAGGAGTGCACCGTTGACAAGCCTGTAAGATCAAATGTAGAAAAGCCGAATAGTGAATTTATTCTAGTTTTGCAACATTAGCAACCCCAATGCTCCGATCCGGCACCGGTGAAAGAACAGCTTTAGTCTCTTGACCAACACCAGGGAAAAGAAATATGATGGATTCCATTAATAGTGAGCGCTGGACCTAGTGTGCAAGAATCATCGTGGCAGTTGTATCAGGCGGAGTGACAATAAACATAAAGACAACCGCAATTAAACTTCGTGAAGAGAAGAGTACTCATGAATAGGAGCCACAAAAGCAAAAGCTCATCAACTTCGGGCCGCTATTTGGATGTAGTCAATAGTACGCAAGCCCTCGAAACATTGCCTGTAACACTTCCTGCACCGCGTGAAGCCGATCAACATCGATAGACAAGGAGGATGGAAGACCGGTATGCCCACATTCGGAAGCCAACCCTGGAGGACCTTTACCTCCCGCTCCAGATCCTCGTGTGCAATACGATGGAAGAGGCACTCGCGAAAACGCCGCGCGAGCTCGCCCAGCTGCCGTTGGTAAGAGTTGTCAAGCAGGATGCTTCTGGCGAGGAAGTGAAGCCAGAAGACATCGACACACCAGACGTCGAGGGAAGCCACACACCTGCGACGGAGACACTGAGCAAAGCGCGGGATTTCGAGCTGGATTTCAAGAGTCACGTCCTGTTCGATTACGGTACTTATGCGGTTGAGAAAAAGGTCACGGAATGGCTGCAGACCTACGTCGTTCCACCACAACACAGCGATTGGGAACTGAGGGACCTGCTCTGCACTTCGCCGCGCGGACGCTTGACTCTGTGCGCGGTTCTGTTGCCCAGTAGGACGAAGATAGCTAGCGCAGCGTCCTCGCGGGACTCAGATTCAGCACCAGACTGTGAAGATGCTGCAGCGGGCAGTACCATGTCAGAACGCAAACCGCGCAAGGAATCGCCATCGTCATCTTCCTCCGTTTGCGATGGGGACAAAAAACCAAGCAAGTTGCAGACAAATTCCATCGAGCTCGCCAGTTCGGAAATAGCCGCTGCGTCGACCGCCCCAGAAGATGTCGCAAAAGGGGCGACCAGAATTCCTGACGAGCAAAGGAACGCAGCCGCAACGTCCTCACGAAAGAGACCCCGGACTGCGGAAAGCTCGGCGCAAAAATCATCTTCGTCGGTGCCAGCCGGCTCGCAGCCTGAGAATTCAGAGGAAAGCGAAGAGATGCGGTATTTGAATGTAGTCGACATGGCGGGCCATCAGTTTTTTTTGAAGGCGACGAGCGACGAAGAAGATCACGCCCTGCCACTACTAGTGCCAACCCACTTGAAGCTTCGCACGGTGAAAGAGCAGCTAGGACAGCACATATACAGAAGCACAAAGTTTCTGTTCCACCGCTTGCAAACGAGTTCTACGTCCTGCGACGAAGACGAGCAGGACGGAGACGCAGCAGGGGAGACGTTTTCGGATTTTGACGAAGTGAACTTTTTCAGCGACGCCGAAGCCAAATCTTCTTTGAAACGCCGCTCGTCTTCGCCTGGCGAGTCGAAGAAGATGAAGAAAACCCGCCCGAGCCAAGATAAAGGCACGCAGTCCCTCGCCAAGCCGGGCGCTCTTGCTTCCCATGGAAATAAGAGGGCGCGGGTCTTTACTGCAGAAGGTGCGGCGTCAGCTGCATCAAGCAAAGAGAATGAGAGATCGGCCGATGAAGGAACTCGGTCTTCGGCAAGCAAAAGAGACAACGCTGCTGCTTGTGCCCCCGGTGCGCCACCAGATCCAGACGAAGCGCTGATCGAGGAGCTGGTTTGTTCTAGTGATACCGAGATCGCACTGCTTTTCCCTCGTGAGGAGACGGAACAAGAGCAGGATGGCGCTGGAGATTAGATTGACTAGCGAGGAGGATAATGCTGCGAATTGGTCAAACGTATTGGTATTCACTCAAAGGGACGACTTTGCTTCTATCATTTTTGGAATACGCACTGGTTGGTGGTAGAGATGGGCTTCGGTTGCGACATAGTACGCGTTTCCATATTACCTTCGGGAGAAAGATGACAGCTCATTGTCATTATGCAGGAGCTCTGGTTTGTATTTGTTCTGTTCCTTTTCATTCTATCTGGAAAGTGTGCCTCTTACTCTTTGAGATCAGCATCAGCGAGTCAGCTGTAGATGTAGCGCAGATCTGTACTCGGGGACGAATCACCAGCAGCTCATGACCCTTCATATACCGATCTTCCATGCCACAGCCATCATTCCTCAGGTGCTGGTGTCCCAAAACGAGATAAGCACTTGGATCTTTTGTTTGCGGCGAGGTGGCTGGACCATGATCAACATTTTCAACGGATCCTGATATTTGTCCATTGATTGAAGTTGATGATCATGGTGGCATTGATGGATCTTGTCGCGATTCGTTGCGATTTTGCACCTGCGTAACTTTCAAAGGGTTCCGATCCCGATGCTCGAACCATCGTAATTCATCTTGAAGCAAGAAAAAAGTGCCTGTGCGTCTCGAGATAGCTTTTTTGTACTTATGCACTTTATCAGAAATATAGCTAGCGTTTTTGTCTCGTCATGATGCTGCTTCGTTCAGATGTTGTGAGCACAATGAATCGCAAATGCATTTCCATAAAGATAAGAGGGCGCTCAAGTTCTTTCGTGGGCGCGGCGCTTAGATGAGAGCCAGATAATGTGCCTGGCGTTGATCACATTGATTGACAGTTTCTTATTCCACTTTGCTTGCGATTATTTTTCAAGATCATGAGCGACTCGGAGGCCTCGCACGACCCGGACGGTCCACCGCCGCACGAGCGTCAGCATTTTCAATTCGCCTTATCAACTTCAAGTGCAACTTAATATGTCTAGATCTGGAAGAGAGCCGATGTTTGCAGCAATCCATTCGGGCTTCGCTTGACCAAGAGGATCTGGTAATATGCATGCCCTAGAATCGTGCCGGGTCTTGCAGCAGCTGCCCGAGGGCTATCGTGCATGAGCAAAAAGCCCCTTGTTCCCGTGTGACCAAGAAAAGCGGTTAGATTTTTCCGTTCCTGCAAGACTGTTCTTTGCGTCGCGCTGTGCTAGCGGGCTAGCTTTTTGCATCTCCCCAGAGCCAGACGCATTATTTGCACTGCATACGCCTACGAGAAAGGCGATCTGCGCGACTTCCTGCCAACGCCGGAGAATGGGAAGGAGTCGCCGCTCACGACAGACGCCGGCGTTGCTTTGTTGGAGCGCACTCTTCGCGGGGCGGGAAAAACGTTCTTTGCGACTTTCCGGGTGGAGTTGCCCAGTCCGCCCCGCGTGAAGGTAAGCAAGACCAGCGAGGAGTTCGAGATCGCGCGGCCACCGTTGGCAAAGCTTCTCCATGGGGCCGCCCCTGAAGTACAGCAGCGACGCAAGCGCGTGACGGATCGTCTAGCTGAGGCCGAGAGCGAGCGGGTTAAGAATCCAGTTTATGTGCTAAACGCGACAGGTTACTGGGTCGATGAACGGGCCAAGGCCCGTGCGCCGGAACGGCAGGTGCGCCATTTCGTCGAAGGCGTGATCCGTCGCGACCAGGTCCAGCGACTGGGCCCACTTTTTCGACAAATGAAGAGGATTGACCGCAGGCTGCTGACCGCTATCGACGACAACCTTTACTCACGCGCCCGACGCTCTAAAAACATCAGTGCTCGGCCCTTTCTGCCTGCCACTCTGCCGCCCGGCCTCTCTCTCAAAGCCTATCATGAAGTCTACGACGAGGACTACGAGTCGGACGACGACGTGTCGTGTAACTACAAGCTTCGTTCCCAGGTGCACAGTGAGCCGGTTGAAGAGCATCTCTTAACGAGGTCGCTCGGCAGGAACGACGTCGATGTCCGCTGCCGCGACCGTGACGGCACAGACAAAAGTCTGACGCAACTATTGACTGAGCTGAAAGTATGCGAGGATCTGCAGACGCAGCTGCAGCTTCCCTTTCCCGTCGAGTTGCAGTTTGCACGGCTGGACGGTGGTGGGGAACAGGGGGAGGAGGAGATGCCGCATCAGGACGAGATGCCTCCCGCTTCGACATTGAGGTCGGGCACCGCAATTCCAGAGAAGGAAGCCGGCGCTGCGGCGAAAGGAGTTGGCCCTCGGGGTTCTGGTTTGGTGAAGTCGCAGGGGTGGGCCGAGAGGTACCTGCACAACCGGGACGAGGACGGCACCAAATCGGACGACGAGGTTGCAGAGTACCGAGCACAAAGAAGCGGGTATGCGAATCGCGTCGGCCGCCACGCCGCGCTTCCGGAGGAGGTGATAGAGAATAGCTCGGCGACCGAAAATGAAAATGGAAGCACGGCGGGGCCCAGGAGGGCGCTGGATCTTCGAAAAAACCCAGGGCGAACTGAGTTGGGGAAATTTCGGTCCACGCGAGTTCTAGATCACGAAGATCGACCCATGGAGCCAGACTATGATGTACTGCGGGCCGTAGAAGACGTCACGAAGCGCACAGCCGGAACTCTGCTCGTTTTCTTGCCGGGAGCCTGGTATAAGAGCCGTGGGCTGCACATGGACGAAACAAAGCAAACCGCAAAAATCAGCGCAGGGCGCTGCGTCGAAAAAGTGAAAGTTGGGTGGAGTGACACGGTGTGCGCGCCTGCTGGGGTAAAGACGGAACCGGAAGCAGCAGCGTTGGTTGATCGGTGGCTTCCCATTGGTTTAGCGGAGAGAGAGGTTGGGCCCGTATTGTTTCCTCCGGACCAAGCAAGGCAAAAATCGGCAGAGCGTCATAGCAGCAGTTTTGAGGAGTGTCCGGCAGAACGCGGAGGCGACGCTGCTGAAGAAGTCGATGGAGGAGGTCCGGGCACCACTAAGGAAATCGATGGAGGTGCAGCAGCCGACTCGCGGTCATGTTGTCCCGCTGATGTTGGCGCTCGGAGTTTGCATTGCGTTGCGGTGGTTCGCGGTGCGGAGTTCGCGCTCTCAGCGTTACGGCCAGGCAAGAAAGGCCTGGAGGGACATTGCCTCGTCGCGGTGTTTCGCATTTTGCGAAAGCGCGCCACCCCCTTGTGCGACAGACTTTCCCTGCTGCGCAAGGAAGTTCTTGAAATCTCGACGCCGGCTGGTGTGAATACAGAAGAATTGGCCAGGGAGTTTGACCGAACGCCAGAAACCGGGATAGCGCGCCATCCCTTTTATATGGAAACACTTGATTTGCAGCAGCTTCTCGTCGCAGTAGAGCAACAGCGCCTGCAGATCCTCGGATTGGACCCGGACTCTCCTACAGTTTTAGCGGATCAGGCCTTTGAGTTCGACTGTTCAGAGTGGGTCCTGAGTACCGAGGCGCGCGGCTCCGACCGATCTCACAACAGTGCGCTCGGCACGCGGCTTCGCAAGGACCTTCAGCGGCTCTGGGACTCCCCCGCCTTCCTGCCAAACGGCGGCGCGCTGCTCTTCCCGTCCTACGAACAGTATTCCAACATGATGCTGTTTCCGCTCCGCAGTGACGCACCAGAGAACCCGCTGAGAAGACACCAGGTGGAAAACCTGATCGGCGACGACAAGCTGATAGCAAAGTGCGTCATCTATTTTGCAGAAAAGCACAGCGCCCACATCACGAAGGTCGAAGTGTGCTCTTAGGTTGGTGGTATCGTTGAGAGCCCCGTAGTGCGGAGACCACGAGAGAAGTAGGCTTTTTTCATGCAGAGTGCAGCTTTTAGATTTAATGCGGTGAGGCGATTGGGATTGCGATCGGACTCCGAGAACTAGCGTAAAAGTTTGTCATGCCGAGCAGCCACGAAGACGCTTCGCTAGTCTTAGTTGTCACACGAAAGCTATAGGCTTTTTGTTTCCGCTATGGGTGAACAAGCGTGCTTTTCTGTAGGATATCATAGCGCAACGGTTGGGAAGCCAGCAGCAGCTCTCATCTGTGCGCGCTGCTGGCCGGGCCAAAGGGACAAAGACCAAGCAATCCTACCGGCTTTTCCCCATGAATCTTTTTGCTGCTGCTCCTCTCCGCCTCTATCCGCACTTCGTGTCGACCGTCGACGTGGAGGAGGGCCCCTGGAGAATGCGTTGCGCAGATGTGCGTGCATTAGACTGTCTTCCGCCCACGCGTTGGCGGCTGTGCGCTCCCCACAGCGGGGAGCAGTTGGAAACTGCAAAATCCAGGAAAAAACACGGCGAGCTTGCAGCAGTGCTGGGCTCGCGGGCGCAGACCGTTCCCTGTGATGCCTCCGTTCCGCTGCACTATGACTTGAGTCCCACGGCGCTCGAGGATTTCGATTCTAAATTTTCCTGCGGCAGCAGCAGGAGTCAAGATGTTTTCCGTTCTACCGTGGCGGACTTAGAAGACTTCGCGAGCGGATGCGTCAGTGCAGCGGATCTCCTGGTAAGTAGTGCCGTCGCGTCGGACAATGAGCAGGGTGCATGCAGTGCATCTACCGGGCGGGGCGCCAGCGTCGCCAATCAGCGGCCGATAGGTACATCCGCCCTCGGATCTTCGTCTCGGGCTGCTGCGCTCCAGAAGGAAGGTCATACGGACAAAAAAATAAACGTCAATCGCAGCAAGGACTCGTCACGTGACCAGATTCGGGAAAGCGCGAGCGAGTCGACGCTTCATCGAGCTGATGCGAGCAAGCGAGACACCATCGACGAGCAGTGGGCAAATTACGAAGTCTATCCTGGGGATAAAAGCTGGCATCTCACATTTGTGACGCAAAAGAGAATAAGTGCACAAAAGTCTGTATCTGCGTCGCATAGCCCAAGCAGAATCCTATGCTGCCGCGGCCCATAGCAGATTTTGATTTTTCATCGTGTTTGTCTATTTCAATTCGCACAGAAGTACTGTGTTGTGTGTGCTAGCTTTTTTCTGTGTGATAAGTTTGTGCGCAACGCGGCTAATGAAAAGAATGCTCGCTACGACTTGCGGGATTTTAATCTTCCAAACGTCGAGCAAGGCGATGACAAGTGTTGCGGTATGCAGTCCTTCTTGTTTCGCAACTTTCCTGTTTATGCGAAGCAGGATCATGCGTACGGCCTTGAAGGCGAAAACTGCAGCTCCTTTGTGATAAGCGCGTCCGCACAAGCCTGCAGGAAGAAACTGAAAAAAAGCAGGACAAGCGAGGAAGCGAGAAGACCGCTGGATGAGAAGGCTTCGCAGTTAGGCCCTGAGAATGAAACGAGTTACACGACCGAAACCGACAGCAACGTAGACGACCCTTTCCCAACGCGTCACAGAATTGACATGGGGCTAGCAGGTATGTTGGAGCTGCAGGTCCCGCCGTTCGCGTCACGGGTGAATATTCCTGACTTCGACGAAATGCAGCAGATGCTGGGCGACCACGCTTTTCACGAAAAAGAACATCCGTTCGCTCCGGGCAAAGGACTTCCGTGGCTTTCTCCGACGGTGGATCAGCTGGCATTTAAGCACAGACGGGCAAATCGCATAAATTACTTGGAGCAGACCCTGGAGTGTGAGCTGAATCGTGCGACCAACACCGTAGCGGAAAAATTTGAATTAGTGAAGGAGGACGCGGTATGCGTTGCAAATATGTCTGCGACTGGGTGTGGGTCTCCTGGTTGGAAGATTGCAAGACTTGCGCTCTATGTTCTGCATGACATAGACGGGCTGACTTGCGGGCTCTAGCATCACAAGTTTTGGCGAGAGGGCTCCTCGCTGCGTATCCTGCATGAGAAATGTTGTCTTCGAGGACTGACGCCCAAGGGTGGCCACTTCTGATAGAGCTCTGCGTCGAGGTCGACCAGACTTAGCGTGACAAACTCGGACCCGTCCACGGCCCAGACATGTTTGCATATGCATACGTGGACTTCCTTGCGCCGCGGACGCCGTGGCACGTGGGCCATGGTGGAAAGGCGAAGTCCCAAAGCAGCCGCTACGACGAGCCGGAAGGGCAGCGACAGCAGTTGGAAAAGGCTTTGGGTATGAAGGTTAACTGCCGGAACCCACGGCACCGGTGCCCGCTGCAGGTGCGCCTAGAATTGCTGGACGCGCTTACCTTTTTTTGGTCGACGAGCATGCTGCACAACTTTTTCGAAACCGGCAAACGGTGTTATTTCTCCGAAAACCGATATCCGCCCGTGGTCCACGCTTCTCGGGCCCCCCGGTCCTTGTGTGACTTCTTAGTCCCAGAACATATCGCAGCGCAGCAAGAAGAAACGCGCCAGCGCAGAAAACAAATTTACAGTCGCGCGATGGCGACAGCCTTTGTGGAGGACGAGTTTGGGCAACGACCCGCAGCAACTGGCCCGCCAGAAGATGCACAGAACGAAGGTCGGCTGCAGGCGGTGGGTGGAAGCAATGACGATGCTGAGCTTTCCTCGGGGATGGAGAGGTTGCCCGAGATTGACTTCCTCACGACCGGAGAAGAACAATACAACGCGTTTGTTTGCACGGCGAGACACTTGATTTTAGGCGGTCGCAGAAGCCGTGAAGTTGAAGACGAACGCGACTCCGATTTTTACGAGTCTCCGTTTACTGCGGATGAGCTGTTGTTTCCGCTCTCGTGCCGGTTCTTCGAAAGTCACCACCTGGAAGCAAATCCCCGTATGACCGAGCTGAAGCACGACGACTTCCTTGCCGCGACTGATTTCGCATGGACCCTCGTCTTTCCGACGAGTCCGGGGCAGCTGCAGCATTCCGAGCTGTTGGACGGGGACTTCCGTTGCAAGATAGTGAACCAATTTCCTTGCGGGCCGTGCGTCCGCGTCCTCAGCCGGCTGTGCGTTCAGACCGACAGCGTGCGGCTTCCGCCCACGCCGATGACGTTGTCACTCACAACGGAGGACGAGGTAAAGGAGTTTTTACACCAGAGCAGCCGTGACAAGCTCGTTGCTGCGCTGGGCATATTTGCAGGCGCGCGTGTTTCGGTGCGCTGGTATCTGCAGGAACTGGATTTGTGTACAACACACAACGCCGAACGGGATTCGATCCGCCTGCCCGAGGACTGGCAATCGGCGTTTTCCGGGCTGGAGTATCGCAATAAGAAAGCAGTCACGGAGAACCGCACAAGGGACCCGCTGGGGGAGAGATTGAGACCCGTGGAGGAGTATGTGCTTCCCCTTGCGCCGTTGTCTCCAATTACCGCCCAGCCTGGCCGGTCGCCGAAAGAGCGCATGATGCGAGTTGCGAACGCGCGCGCCGAAGAAGCTTACCGGCCGAGACGCGCGATCCTGCTTCACAAGCCGCCTCCCGTCTCTTACGGGAATCCCGACGAGCCGTTGCTCTCGAAGAAGCGGTGGCCCTCACGACAGGCCTTGCGAGCGTACTTGGAAACGCTGGGCGTGCAGTACCAGCCCACGGCTGCGCCGGACAACGAAATCTGGGTCGCACCCTTGGAAGCACCGCCGCCGCGGTCGAAGCACCTGCCTGCCGACGGCGAGGGGGTGCTGGCTTTTCGGATCAGGTCGGAAAATCCGGACGAAGCGCAGCAGAAGAATTTCGACAACAAAAGGGAGGACAGCTATCAGTCGGAAGAAGAATGGACAGAAAGTTCCGAATCTGATGCGGAAGACATACGTCGTCAGACTCTTCTGCGGAAGCAGCAGGATCCGACTACAAGCTCTGAGGGCCACACCTTTGGCAGTGCAGATTACAAGTATAGCGGAGGCGTTTATTTGTTTTTGGCTCGTCCTTGATGTTAATGCTTGGCTATTCCTGCACTTCTCACACTAGCTGCAACAGCATAGGATCCATAGAGAGTAAGCGTATCTGAGTGTGCTACAACGACCTCCGATCTCTATATCTGGTTTTCATAAGTATCAGAATTGCATTCAGATGATGATGATGATTGCATTCAGTTTCAGTAAAAAGAACAACCACAACCGCTATCACAGAGCCATTTTTGGAGAACGGCCGGACCGAGGCAGGCGCGTGTACAAGCAGCATGGGGATTACTTCGCATTTTTTCAGATGCGAGCCGCTATCCACCTGGACTTCCATGAATGTGGCGGATGGAAGCCCTCTGCATCTGCAGCTGCCTGCAAGGAACCGACGTCAACCGGGGGTACAGCATTAGGCAGCCTCTTGGGCGCGAGCAAAACGACTGAAAGCAAGGGGCCGGCTACGTTGAAATCCAGAAGCGGCAGCGACCACAAGGCAACATCTGCATCACAGCGGGGACAGGATGACACAGCGAAAAACGTTCGCGGCGCAGACAAGGAGAGGGCAGCAGAAAATCAAACCGCAGAAGACACAGGAGACGCAGCGAAGCGCCGAAAGGTGGTTGTAACGGCCTCGGAAGGTGTAGCTGCGTGGAGCAATAGTTTAGAGAAGCGGTTTCTGCTGCAGGAAGACATTTTCGACAGAACTAGAACGTGCAAGAAATAGAAAAGGAAGCCCGCTTGCGCTTTTGCTGATTCAATACATAAAGAGGTCAAAGATTCGAGCTTCACTGATATGCCACACCACACGGATGCATCATCAGTGCCATGATTCTTGGTGCTCAGTTCGAGGCTCCACCTCCACAACCATCACAGCGATATAGACTTACTCTTGTGTCGGTGCCAAAGCACACCCACACGACGTGGAAACGTTTGCCAGAGTTGAAGAAAACAATTGCGGTTGCTGTTATGATCGATGTTTGTCCGCCATTCATTGCTGCGTTGCGTCGAAAAGACTGCTCTATCTGTACGCCAGGTCTTCTACCGCGTGATCAAGCAGCTCCGTTTCTCGAGATCTGAAGGGGCTCTAACAGATCATCAGCTGTGTTATCAGAAAAACATCCTGGCTTCAGAGTCAGAACTTCGGCTGTAGTACCACGTGGAATGAGAACAGCTCCCACAATCGTGGAGCAAGGAGCTTTTGTTTTTTGAACACATCAAGAGCTAGGAAACAGAAGACCCAATAAACGTACTACTAACTTGGTCTTGTAAGTAGAAGTCGATAAATGTAAGTAGTGTAAGGGTAAGCGCAACTGCAGCCACCGTCGCCTCAACATCAACACGAGTCTCGTCTCTCTCAGTTTAGCAACATCAAAAGTTTCTCTGGCTCAGCAGATCTTTCTTCACAGCGGCATCTTCAAATTCATCCCTCATCAGAAAGAAAGCCTGTGTGCTTTGTCGGTAATGGAAACGAATGCGATCACCTCCCGGCGCGTTCCACTTCAAATTGTGGTGTGCGCCGATGAGAATGAAGTGGCGCGATGGCTAACTAACGCATACGCACGTGCTCGCACTCCGCTTGCGGAGGTCCGGAAGGAGGACGAGCAGGTCGGGCATAATTTGCTCTTGCGGGCAGGTGAGGAGGAGAGCAAGAGACGCAAAGTCGAAAGTTCTGGCGCCGTCGCGTTGACCGAGGCGATGTCGGGCGGAATGAACCGACACACGAAAGACGGATATTCTTTTCCCGATACCGCCGTGTTTTTTGATGTCATGGAAACTGCTGACCGCGTGCAAGCGTGGCTGGAGTCCTTCCTTTTTCCTCCGTGCCAGGGCTGGAAAGTTAAGGCAGTCATGAGCAGTGTATGCTGTGGTATACGAGCGGCCGTCTGTGTCCTAGCCGTCCGAACGCCACCCGAGCAGTGCACTTCTAAGAGCAATATTTTGATGCAAGATGCTAAAAAGCCTAAGTCAGCGGAGCTTACCACCCCGGGCACAGATACGTCGGCGACGACTGCAGTAAAGAAAGGAAAAAATAATAAATTGGAGCATGTTGGCGTGAAAGATGTTGAAGCGCAAGCTATTCCAGACGAAGCTGCTACTGAGGAAGAGCCTGTGCGCTACCTGCAGTTGCGCGACATGACGGGGAGCCTGTTCCAAGTGAAAATCAATGAGGAGCTCTTTCAACCACTTGTCGTTCCCACCAACATGAGTCTCCGCAAAGCAAAGGACCATTTGCAGCGCTGCTTTTCAAAGCAACCGCGTCCGCTTTTGCACGGCCTCAGCGTCTGCACGTCAGACAACGATGATGAAAGTGAGGAGAAAATGACCGCCGACCAAGAAGACCACGACTATGAAGTAAGCGAGGAGCTCTCCGAGCAGTCAGCGAGCAGGTTAACCAGATCGAATTTGCTGTTGCGCCCCAGAACAAACAGCGGCCCGCTGGCTCGTCAGCGAAAGCGAGGGAAAACAGACGAAGACGTGCGCAGTGCGTTCGGGGCGGGAAGTTGTGCTGCCAGTCAGGCCGCTTTTAGCCCAGGTGCGGAGCCTTCAACTTCCGATGGAAAGCTTGCCAAGGACGAGCTTGCCGAAGAGCCTGAGGAAGATCCCGAAGAAGCGCTTGTGGGAAGCCTCTGCTGCGCAACGGATACGGACCTGGCGCTGTTGTTTCCGTGCGAAGAGCAGGAGGGAACTGCCGAGGAAGGCGGTGACCAACATGAAAATGCAGCTGCAGGCGGGAACTGAGCAAGAGGTGGAAGCAGACGATTGCATTTTCAGTGGGTGTGAGTTAGTGTTAAGTACTTTGAGTGTTTGGAGTTGACTTGTGGTTGTCGACGATAATATTTCAAAATTATTTATACTTGTGCATTGTCCCCAACCGACGCGGACACCTTACTTCTCCATGCGAGCAACTTTTTTTGGATACCTCTGACTTGTCCTCCGCCTGGAATATTCGCATGGAAGATCCATCTTCGTGATGTGTGTCGTCAACGCTGCTCGCCCGGTTGTGCAAGCAATGCCTGGGCGGTTGTGTATCGTCCATCTTACAGCTCTCGAAAGCCAAGATCAGTATCGAGCGCCTGTACTAGCAGTACGTGATTGTTTCAGAACGGATCAGATGATGACGACAGCATTTTAGTGCCATTATGGATGATGAGGATGAGCAGATTGATGATCCTACGCAGAGCGATCACAGTTCCTGTTACTCACGGCGTGCCTCTTGCCACATCGTTCCACATAGTAGATTGCCGTCGGCTTGCCAGCAGCTGGCGCCATTTTCGTGTCAAAGAATTAGAAGAAGGTGTGATAAAGTAAGTGCTTAATCGTCCCCGCGACTTCCGCAACTGCAGCACATACCTACTTATTTACCTCTCGTTGATACGATCAGTAGTTCTTCTCGTTTCCTCGTCGAAGGCACTGAGTTCAACATGCAATTTCACCGACTCGCATATTGTACTTACAGGCTTGCTCTGATAAACGACTACAGTGATCATGCTGCACTTCTTCATCAGCTTCTGAAAGTGAATCTGCATCGACTTGAAGTAAGACAAAGACTTGAAGAAGTTCGACGCGCCAACCAAGATTGTCTTACTCTCTCTCTCGTAGGTGAAATGAATTTGCAAAACCAGACGCAACTTCACAACTCTTGTTGCTTTCAAAACAGATGATTGAAGCTGCGATCATCACCATTTATTTCAAAGATGACCCATTGATATTAAGTTAACCCTGGCTCTTTTTTGATACGAAACATTTTCTGTTCGCAAGCGGTGTTTCGCCCACATCGCAATCAGGAGGTAGTTTTTCAAACAAAAATTTCGAGGATGCCAACGTCGTTCACCGAGGACGTTGCCCCGGAGCCACCGCTGGAAGATTACGAGTTGGGCGCGGTGCCCGACTACTTCCCTCGGCAAAAAGACTTTGGCGGAACTCCCGTGGATGTCGCGTCGACCAGGCATGGCCTGTATCTTCTGGAGCGGGCTTTGGCCGGAGCGGGGGCGCGGTTCTGCATTCCAGAGATTACGATTCCCGTGGCAGAGCCACCACGCGTCGCGCTGTTGCACGAGAAAGAAGAGGGGAGTAGTGAGGACCAGGCGGCCGTCCGTGGGGAGACCAGCTCCTTTGATATCGTCCGGCCACCGCTGTCGCAGCTTTTGGCCGAGTTGTCGGAGGAGGAACTTGGTAGTGATGGCACGGCCGAATTAGTAACGGCTGTGCGGGCGTGGCGAAAAGCAAAGCGTGAAGAGGAGGACTATGACCGAGAACTTGAAGAGAAGAAAAAAGTTCGCACAGGCAGTGCAGCTTGTACGGGCACCGAAGTTCTTACCCATCCTGATGGTATTGAACAAAAGGAAAATCGAGTGCAAGAAAAATCCAATGAAAGCGCACCGCACAACGGCGGGGGTGAACTGCAAGACGCTGTGACAGAAGAAGTAGTAGACGACAAGCAAAATAGTATAAGAATTTCTATCGTAGAAGGAGCCGAAGTGGATGGGGGACGTGGCGCTGGCGAAGCCGAACAAGCCGTCCTTGCTTCGAACACGACCGCAAATGCGACCGCCGAGGAGGAGGAAAAAGCAAAAGATCTGTGGCGAAAGCGGTTGGACGCCGGAGACAAGGTTTGTGCGGCGCGGAAGAAGGTGCGCAAATTTTTGACGGATCTCGTGCTTCGCGACCAGGGTCGGCGACTGGATCCGTTACTGCACAGGATGAAGAAGATTGACCGCAAGTTGTTTGACGGTCTCAAACGCAATGCGATAGAGCACCGGACCAACGTAGTTTTCGACCATTCGAAGCCGCATCATAGCAAAGCCGGAACTCTAGTCAAAAGCCCGGAGCCCGGGTTGCTGTTTCCGGGGCTCTCTCCCTGCGACGGCTCCACCGAAGAGGAGGAATCTGAGGAGCGGTGTAGATATTCTCCCTTGGAAGCCTTCCGGTCGCCTCCACCCTACCGACACCTGTTGACGAAATCGCTCGGTAAAAACGACGTGGAGATCACGTGCGGCGACAAAAGCCTGCAGCAAGTGCTGATCGACAAGGGCCTTCCCGCCGCTCTCGAGAAGCACCTTGAATATCCCTACCCGGTGGAGTTGGACTTCGTGCGGTTGGACGGAGGCTGGAGTAACTCATTCAAGCCGAAGAAAAATCGCACCCGCGGAAGTGAAGATGACACGGGCGGGCCAGCCGCGGATGAGAACAAAGATGAAGATGATGACAAAGAGGCGCGCAGCCCATCGTTGTTTCTGGGTTCAGATTTTGCGAAATACCTGCAAGAGCGTGGAGAAGAGGTCAAGTCGGATGACGAATCGGCGGAGTACCGCAGCGCATTGCACGAGAATCACAAGCGCACTGGAAAGCGCGCTGCTTTACCGCCGAAAAAGGTGCCTCGATTTCGAGGATCAACACTGGATTACAGTCCGACGTCTAAAACAATTAAGATTCGCTTAGATGACTGTGTGTACAAGCCGGACACTACCCCAGACCCCCGTAACCCCGCGCGCACTCGCGGCTGCGGGGCTCTGCGGAAGGTTGACCACAAAGCTCCAAAGTTTGACTACGACGTACTGCGAAAGGTGCATGACACAAATGACCGGACGGTCGGCACACTCCTAGTCTGCCTTCCGGGCGCCTACAACACGCACCTCCTGCCACATGAGTATGTCAACTCGGACGACAACGAAAAAAATGCTACTACAATGGTAGGACGCTTCAAAGAATCGGTCGCGCTTTCTGGCATGGGGGCCGCCCGGATGGTCGAGGGGGACGACGAAAGCGACGACGAGTCGGAAGAGGGGTCCGAAGAGGACGGCCTCGATGACGACGAGACTGATGAGGAAGCGTGTGACAACTTGGAAATGGGCCAGTGCATGCCATACGGGATCAGCACCAAGGAGCTCCCGGAGAGCTTCCGTGCGAGGTTCAGGACGCGGGCTCCGAGCGTTGTCCCGGAGGAAGGAGGTGCTGCTGCTGCTAGTACCGACAATCCCGGCGTAGTAGACGAAGAAAGTGTAGAAGTAGGTGTAGTTGATGTCGCAGCGGGCACTTCTGGCGCCGGTCAGTCCGCTTTCGCAGGGAAGACTCCTGTGGCACCGCAGCCAGGAGATGGAGACGTGGAACACGCTGCTCACGAGGGCAGTGCGTCGGAGAGTCAAAAGGTGGCATCCTGTGCCGAGGATGTTGGCCAAAACGAGACGAAAGAAAAGTTGGTGGCGAGCAGAAAAGATGATCCCGGCTCTGCGATTGCAGCAGAAGAAGTGGCGGATCAGAACGACGACGAAGCTTCATCTTGTGCGAGCGCGGCTGCGGAGGACGAACATGAACACCCGGAGCCGTGCTCGGCACGGTTCACCGCTACGCGACTGCACGCCGTCGCCCTTGTTCGTGGCACCAAATTCGACGTCCGAGATCTCAAGAGCCTCTACGGCCACTGCCTTGTAGCGGTTTTCCGAATCTCACGGAAGCGGTCCACACCCCTGCTGGATCGCATACCAATATTGCGAGACTACATCGCGCCGCTGTTGGAACAGGACGGGCCGGAAGGTGCTACAGACACAAAAGGCGCCGCTCTGGCCCCTGGCAGTAGTGATTCAGCTACCTCCGTCGAAAGAACAACTCCGGCAAAAATTTCGCCTGATCTTGATGGATACGAGCTCTGGAAGAAATGGCATCGGGGACCGATTCTTGGAATCGATTCATCCGACGACGAGGCCGGGGAAGAAACTGCACAAGAAGATACCTCCCCGCGGACACAAGGCGTGGACAAGGTTGTCAAGCTCGCGGAACGACATCACTTGCAAAAGCTCGGATTTTCTGCGGCGCAGGTGGCCGAGGACGAGGATTTTACCTTCGACTGCACACGCTGGGTGCTGACCAACTGCAGATACAGTCGCGAGCAGGAAGACATCTGCACCGACACAGTTCATGGCAAGCACCTCCGCACGCTGCTGCAGCGGTTGTGGGATTCGCCGAAGTTTCTTCCCGACGGGGGGGTCATCCACCTACCCTCCTACGAAAAGTACTCCAACTTGGAACTCTTTCCTCTGCGCAGTGACTCTCCGGAGCAACCCCTGCACCCTCGGCAGATACGCCGGCTGCACGGGCTGGACAAATTGTTTGCACGAAGCCTGAACGCCCAGAGGCTGGGGTTTTTCGACGACAAAAAAGGTGACGACGCGTCAGCAGAAGAAGAGGCGCTAGTTCCTGGAACGTTGCTGCACTCCGGAATCAAGACTGTGAAGCAGGCACAGCTGTACTACCGCCCGCACATCATTCCTGTGGCCCGGGCCCGGAAAGAAGTGAAAGACCCCCTCAAAAAATTAGATGGCCACCACGGTGATCTCATGCGATTGACCGATGTTCAAGCGGTGGACCGCCTGCCCCCGATGCGTTGGCGGATGCAGCATGGAAGTGTAGCAAAAGATTTGCTGGACGACGGGGTCACAGCAGCAGCTTCGAGGAATGTTGTCACGGCGGCGTTGCTGCTGGGTTCACGGATTCAGCTTCCAGTGCCATCGGATGGCCCCCCCTGTGTACGCACTTTCTGCTTCGAAGACGACACGGTCCCCCACGACCAAGGGGAAGACCCAAAGTGGATGTACTTCCCCGAGTCAGACATTGCCGCCTTTCCTCAAATGCAGCAGTTCCTTACCGACTGCGAGCGGCACTGCAACCGATTCGCTGGCGTACGAGTCAGCAAACCAGACAAAACTCAGAACGCCGGATCACCCAGCGTCATCGGCTGCAGCTCCGAATTTTCTGGACAAGATGTAGAAGAACCGCAGTTGGCTGGGCCGCGGGGACCTCGTTTATTCGCTACGACAGGTAAAATCGAGCGCCACCGCGTGAGCACCGTTCTGAAGCTCAAGGACGACCACCGCCATGACGAAATGTCTTTTATGTTTGGAGGTGCAGAGGTCGACTGTTACGACCACGGCAGCATGTTTTGTGCTAGCGTTAGCCAGTCGAGCGTAGAAACGAGCCTTGCATTGGTGCCGTCGAAGATTCCCGAAGAGAGACAACTTGCACGGGACGAGTACCCAGTTCTCGATGCCATGCTTACATTAGGCGGCATGCTCGAGTTGCATGTCCCGCCAACGAGCGCGAGAATGAACGTTCCCCATTTCGAAGAGATGCAGAACACAGTTTATGGCGACGAATATCGGACTGCAGTCGATCGCATTGCCAAGGCTGACGAAGCTGCAGCAGCTGCAAACGTGGCACGGAACGTAATCGCGCAAAACAATCCAAATGCGGGAGAACCGGCTCACGAACGGGAAGCCCGCCTAGAAGAAAGGCGCTACGCCGAGCGTAAGGCGGAGGAACATCGGAACCACCAATCAGTCGCAGGCCATACCCTAGAAAACGAGTTGAACCGAGCCTGCGCGACAGTTGGATGCAAGCGCGCGCTTTTGCTCGCAGACCGAGACTACATTGTGCCTCGTACCGCTCTGCACCTTGGTCCTGTGGCGATTTTGGGTCGGGGTTCTGCCCGTATTATACCTTGGGAGCGTCTACAAACCACGCGGCTCAGGATGGCGCTCGACGATCAGGTTTGCGCGCACAACCCTCGTCACCGTTGCCCATTTCAGGTGCGCCTTGAGCTCCTCGACGCGCTCACCCTTTTTTGGATCACCTGCAGCGCCGGGGACCTCTTCCACGCGGCCACGCAACCGGCCTACAATAAGGATGTTGTTGGCGCTCACGTCACAAAGAAGCCGGAATTTCCGTGCTCCATTCTTGTACGGAGTGCCCCGGCGCAGAACGACAAAGCTCTCGCCCCGACCTCCCGGTCGGATGATGCATTCCGGAATGAACAGTGGGAAATCAGTGACTTCGAGCGACTCTACAATCTGTTGCTGCGAACAGCAAGCTATCTGATTCTCGGGGGTCCGCGAACCAACAAGCAGTTTCTCCCGACGTTGGAGCACGCGTGCTTCCACTCTTCGGCCAAAGCGGAGGCGGACGAAGCTCAGCAGGACAAGATTTTTCCCTTGTGCTGTTGTGGGAGTGATCTTTGGCGTAGCAGACCGCCGGACAACTGGGTTCATCACATAAGAGCGGTGGAGTTACTGAGTGCTGCAGATTTTTCCTGGTCGATCGCCGTCCCCATTGATCCGGCGTTCACGTTTTCCGCCTGGGGCCGCCGACTTTGCAGGACGCCCACGGGAGCACAGGCGAGACATTTTGGCCGCGCGAATGGCCACCCCAGCTGCTACGCTGCAGCTAGAAGCAGTACTACAGAGCCGCAGGCGCAGCCGCCAATGAACTTTGAATTACGTTCCGAGTCCGAGGTGATGCAGTTCTTCAAAAGCCACACCAAGGAGCGGTGGTTCGCGGCGCTCGGGATGCAAGGGGGGGCGAAGGTAAGCGTGCGCTGGTACCTTCACGAGCTGGATTGGGCGTGCAAAGTTTCCCGCGAAGAGTTGGCGAAGGCGCTGAGAGATCGGAGTAAATCCGCGGTTTCGGTTGCGGACCTCTTCCTGCGAGTCGAGGAGCATGTGCTTCCGCTGGCCCCCGTTTCCTCCGTCACGCCACAGCAAGGCACATCGCCGAAGGACAGTTTCATTCGTGCCTGCAACTTGTACGCAGAGGAGTGCTATTGCCCGCGGCGCGCTGTCGTGCTGAACAAACCGCTGTCGGAAACCTATTCGGGTCGGCTGCCGCGGACCCGGAGTGCAGTGCGTGAATACTTGACCACCGGCGGCAACTTGGGGTCGCAGTATCAGCCAACGAGCGCAGCGGAGGTTTGGGTGGCACCCTTCGGCCCGCCGTCTCTCCCACATCTCGACGTCGCCGGGATTATGACGGCGGAGGAACGGAAGTGCCGCCACTACAGGCCAAACCACCCCGGTAACTACAAGCTGGAGGCGAATGAGATCCTGACCGAGAATCTGTTTTGGGTTCCGATTTTCCACGAGCGCGTGCCGCACGAAGCATGTTCTCGCCGGGACAAGAGCTTCTCGAAAACCTGTAGCCAGCGTGCGCCCGAACGAAAGGACTCGCACGTCGTTTCGAATCACCCATCTGCTGATGTCGCTGCAAATCCGGATCCCGCTACTTCACCTGCGCAGGGTACCAGCACCAGCGCGGAGGAACGAGCTACGAACAAAAGTTGCAGCAACTCAGCCCCAGCGAACAACGCAACCGAAGAAGATACTATCAAGCATGTAAGGAGCTGCCAGAACCACACGTGCTCGCAGGAAGACCTTGCGTATTTTCATATGGTTTGAATTATGATTATGTTCAAAAGCCGAAGATACTATATTCAAACATTTTGATTTGAGTTCTTCACACTGCAGCTAGCCCGGCGATGCAAAGACTGACAGAACCTTTCATGGCATAACCCGCGGGGTACAACCACAAATTGCAGAAACGTGAATAACTCAAAAGCACTTCAAGACCTTCGTAGATGCTTTTGCTGAAGCGGCACGTTCTTGGCTTTCAGAAAAAAACGCACAATATAAAACTACAGGTCCGTTTTTGCCGATTACGCGGAAGTACATCCGCTGTTGTTTGGGGAAAAAACACACGTTCGTGAAAAGATGCCGTCCGATGCAGATTATTACGCGCTCTTTCACGTCCGGGCTGCGCTTCACCTAGATTTCACGGAGTGCGGTGGTTGGAAGCCACCCGCGAGAACGGACGCAGGAGCGCCGGAACCATCCCTCGATGAAAATGACGATCCACCAGATCAGGTAAAGAAAACAGATGCTGCAGCCGCGATTGGGATGCACAAGTCCGCGTCTACTGCGTCTTTGCAGGATCAGGAAAACACAGGGCGAAACGATGCAGATTATGGGGTGGAGAATGAGGGCGCAGACACGCGTGTCAACAAGCGCGTTGCTGCAGTTGATGCTGGTAGCAGCATATCGAGTTCACGATCCAGGAATGCAGAGCAGATGAACGTTGAAGATGAACACCCAGCAAAAAGACGAAGGGAGGATCAGCAGCCCTTTACGAAGTAGGGAAGATCAAGACGGAAAGACAACGAGTGGTAAAGGAACGTTGCTGCTTATTGGAACAAGTTTGGAAGATTTGGGGACTACAACTCATCAAGGAATCCCATTTTTCAAAATTAAAAGAAATCGAAAATTAGAGTTCGACGGATCAATCCGGGAAGAGATGAGAACGAACATGTTTCAAAGGCACTTTTATATCAGTTCACCGTACTACAAAAACAAATCGTACTTGCTCATGCCGGGCCTAAGTAACGCTTCTATTCGACGGGAATTCATCGTGTGCCGACGGAGCAGATAGAGAACAATATCAGGCCATCGATATAGATTAGAACCGTGTTCAAACAAGCTGTAGTACCTACTAGCCTCCGATTGAGATAATGAAATGCTGTCGGTCATTAAAAGTCGTGTCGGTTTTTTTTGTCGTGTAAAAGAGAGACAAAATTGATATATGTGTCTCTATTTTTTCCACACAGAGGACACACTGCGCACACGCAGGAGTGAATTACTTCCGAATTTCTTATACGCTAGCTTTTGCTTTTCACAACCTCGGTGAAGTTTTCTCGGTCAGTGTGAGGCGTCATCTCAAAAACCAACTCGAACGCTCTGTTGATCAACGCACGGAAGATACTTTGTACTACCAGTGTCCCGCCCGGCCTGATCCTTGAGCTCAGATTCACACTTTATCGGTATCAGTTTTTTCCGCTTCCATTGTAGTTGCTGTTGCACAGGAACAAACCTTGCAGTGTCACTTCAATAAGTTTCAAACTACTTCTCATTCTCTTAAATATTTACTAAAGTGCTAAATAAAAAGTGAAACGATTCCAGTACCGCTTTTGAACAACTAGTCCTAGTGCCAGCGCCTCGCGACTAGGAAGATGAAGATCAACTTCAAGCCTCTCGGGAAAAAGCTGGAGACCGCCGGGAAAGACATCGGCAAGTTCGTGAGCAGCAATGTTCCGAAAGGCGGGGACATCCAGCTTCCGGTGGTGAAAATTGGGGACAAGGTCGAGATCAACGTGAAGATACAAATCAAGGTGAAATAATAAGTGCTTCACGACTCCAATCAAGATCTGATCTTCGAAGGAAAGTCAGGATGGGAACGCATTGAATTATGGCGCAGCTTCTGTAGAAGCTTTCCGGCCAATTTCTTTTAGAAAGAATCGTATCAGACAGGCCTCCTTGCCTTGCAGCGCAAGAGAAACAGAGAATGAACGACCGAAAGAATTTTTGCAACTCCAACTTACGTATCGACTTTCCAAAAATTCTAAAAAGCGCAGCTGAGAACACGAGTTGTTCGGTCAGGAGCAGGCCAGTTCACAGCAAGTAATAGCGATATGCGAACAATTCCTCGCATGCACAAATTCGTCGTAATTGTCGTCCAATCGAATTATCTTGTCGTTGTCGCTTCGTCATCGTATTCTTTTCGTTCGAGGTCGAGATCGAGTTCATATCGGACTTCTGGTCCAGCGGAACCTTATCTTCTATCGTTGGGCAGGTCCGCTAATGAATAGTCGAATGAAGGAGCGTAAGCGAGACCTTGAATAATTGTCAGATAGAAGCAGACCAGAAAAATAAACCTTCGAACAAGAAATCAAAGTATCGACTCAAGATGAGGTTCCGCCCGCTCACCGCAATACGCAAAATTGCGGCGAGTGCAGTTGTAGTCGGACTCTTTAGCATCGGCGGTAATCCAAACCCGGCTTTGGCGATTTACCTGCGCAAGGAACACCAGGAGGCTGCAACAGTTTCATCCGGAGCAAGCGCGCCTCCTGTAGTACCGGAAATCACTGCCGAACACCAAGGAGGAGCCGCAAGTCTTTCTTCGCACGTAAAATCGTCGAGCGGAAACTACAAAATCGGAAGATCTGCTAGTTCAGCACCACGAGGACACAATCAGCCACGACAAGTGAATGCAAGTCGCTCGTCCACGACACCTTCCAACAACGCTCCACGACCTGCCCGTCAACATTTGGTCCTCGAACAGAACGCAATCGAGCAGGATGGAGACGTCTTCTACACAGGAAAAGAAGATTTTTATGCCGACGCAGTAGATCATAGACATAGTCCTACTCCTACAGCCCTGCATTTATTCGAACCTACTACGGGCGAAGAGGACGCTGCTCTTGGCGGCGACGAAGACTTTGAAGAATCTTCCGGCTCGGCAGAAGAGGAAGCAGATCCCAGCACCAGCGGAAAAGCCATGATTTCCTCTTTACAAGAACTGTATGTCGCGCAGCAATCCGGCACCGGCGCTAACCACCCGCTTGAACGAAGCCCGATCACCAACGCAACCCAGCTTGCGGAGGAGGTCAAGGCCGAGATGCGATTCTGTTGGGAGAACTACCGAAAGCAGGCCTGGGGCTACGACGAAGTGTTCCCAGTGACCGGAGGCGGCCAGAACCCGCTCGGGGGACTCGGGGTTACCATCGTGGACAGCTTGGACACCTTGTACTTAATGGGGCTGCACAAGGAATTTCGAGAGGGGTTGGAGTTTGTCCGGAACGAACTGAACGTGACGGCGCCGAAAGCGGATTTTACGTCTCGAAAAGCGCACCTAGACGATCTGCGGTTGCTAAATCGTCCAGACACTTCAGGAGGACGAGAATTGAACAAACACAGGAAAAGAGAGGAAAAAAAGTTCTCCACCTTCGAGATCACCATTCGCGCCTTGGGTGGACTGCTCTCCGCCTACAGTCTGAGCTCCGAAAAACCGCTGCTGCAGAAGGCAGAGCAGCTGGGCGACACGCTGCTCGCAAAGGCGTTTGGGGACGTGGGGAAAGCGAATTCGCGGCACGGACTGTTTCCGGTACGAATGATTCAGTTGGCGGAGAAAAAGATGGGGAGAAAGGATAAAAGCTACGGGAAGAAATCCAAGATTCAAGATTCTCGTCAGCGGAAAAAGGCAGTAAACAAGCCGCCGCCGTCGGCTCTTCAAGTGGGATTGGTCAACTACGGTACTGACCTGGTTTCCGGGTCGAACAGCGAAGGCGAAAAAGGCTCTTCTGGCGAAGTAGATTCCGGGGATGATGAAGAAGCTGGCGCCAGTTCTGAGGATGAAGAAGAACCCTCTGCTCCTTCTACACCGACCGCTGCCGAGCTGAATAAAGACCGCAGCGGGAATTTGGCCGAAGTGGGCAGTTTGCAGCTGGAGTTTCGTTCCTTGGCGTTCTTCACAAAAAGGCAGGACTTCACTCGCCTCCCGGACAAGGCGGTACAGGCGCTCACCGAGGTGAGCGAACACACCGGGAACGCGCTGCTGCCGGTCGGCGTGAATCTGTGGAGTAAGCGGGGCGCCGC